CCCCAAAACCCCAAAACCCCAAAACCCCTATTTGTAAGATAGCTGTTGAAATTATACCAATTCTCTAAGCCTCAGTAGCCAAGTTATGCAGCATTACTCTAAGATTGACCTTAAAGAAGTTGTCGACAAGGTGGAAGATCTTGAGCAATTCCTTTCCCAGCCTCTTGACCTCTTCATAATGGTTTGTGTACATGTAAAGGATGTCATTCTTACTGTAGAGCAGCTTCGCAACAGGGTCGCCTAGGTCTTTAATCTTATAAACTCATTCTTGCTGCCCAAATTCTGTGGTTGTTTGTTTTATTTCCTTCCCACTTTTGTCAATCAGGATATACTCCTTATCGTCCTTCTCATCCCGAGCAGGGCATAATTTTAGAGCCAAGGTGATGAACACCTGGTAGATAATAGTCCCGATGATTTTCAGATTCCAATTGGCTTTTGAGCTGATCTTAACACCGAGGCCTTTTTTGTCTGCCAGCAAGGTTTGAACCAGGACCTAGAGATTAGCACATAAATTACCTTCCCAATGATGAAGTACAGCGTCATAAACCTCTTTTTCTTCTTATTCATGCTGTAAAAAGTGCTAGTGTGCTCTTCCACATCAACACTAAAAGTTAGAAGAAAACTACCGATTCTTTTCGAATTGGGAGAGGTATTCTGGACAAGCCTGGGACCTATGGTTGAAACCTTGGGAAAAGAACAGTTTCATGCTCTTTGGGATATTTTTTTCTTGGAAAGCAATCTGAAGACTTTTTACTATAAACAGAGCTTTTGTGTATGATCGCCTGAACCTATTTCTCCTTCACAGCAGCTTTGTTAAACAAGGAAAGTACATTTGTGAAATCATAGTCAAACTCAGGAGACTCGTTAACAGCTGATCTTAGAGCACTGGATAGGTACTTAATTAACCATTCCTTGGTCACTTCATGCATCATATCATAATTTTTCTAGAAGAAATCCGGAGGAGACTTACCTCGATGTCCTGAGACAAAGTCTCTTTGATGCCCTTTGCATATTTCTTTGCAGAGATGTATAGAATAGTCCAATAGAAAATACTCTTGGCGATACTTCTGAATTTCTGGTAAGGAGAAAGCTCATTCACCCTTCTTTGTAGGCTGATCGTTTTCCTCAAAAGTTTCTTGGCTTCATACCTTTTCTCATAATTTTGCACTAAATCTTGATTAACGGCTTCCTTCTTGTTGAACTTATAGAGTGGAAGTCCTGAAAGAATATGGATTGGCCGATGGAACTCTTCCTGTTCAGTGTCTTTCTCATAATCCAGGAGATCACCGATGGTCTAGAATGTAAAGGAATCCATCTACCTTGTTGGCCTTCTTTTCCATTTTGTCCTTCTGTTCCTCGTACATATTGCCAAACTGTTCGCTTGGGACTACATCAGGCTTCTGATCTTGGCCATCGGATATCAAAATATTGGAATAGGCCCCATCTTGTGGAGGAAGCAAAGTCTTTCTCTCAAACACCATGGGCTTGGTTGCTAAAATATCATATGAAATGGCATACGAGTTCGGTTCTGCCTCATTTGAAGCTGCTTTCTCAGTTTCATTTGGGATTCTTGAGCCTGACGAAGCTTCTTCTGCAGCTCAATTTTTTTACGAAAGCTATGCTCATTTGACAAATCTCGACTTTTCTTAATCATTGAAGACATTAATTGACTCTCTTGCAGGTGAGACTCCATCTGAGCTGATCTATCAAGGTAAGGAGTGGTATGTCGCTGGTTGTAAGGATTCTACAGCTCGTAACTTGCCCTACCACATTCTGGGAGTTGGAATAAATACTTGGCAGCAAGGGCCGGACTGGAGTCGGAGTTTCTAAACTTCCTAAATTCGCAAAATTTAGCATAAAATCTTACTGTTATTATCAAGCTTCCTTCCAAAAGTCTTCTGTGGTGTATTTAGAAACCCTGAATTTCTCGATCCTAAAAGGGATTTTAAAGGGTATTTAACATGTAGATTAGCTGAAGTAAGTCTTACCAAGTCCTGGAGTCCCAATGAATGCTCCCTGACCTCCTTGGCTTGAGTAATAATTTGAGTAAGAGTTACTAGCAAAGGATGGCCTCTCAATGGTCTAAAACTTAGATCCTCAGGTAGGGTTACACTAGATCTGTATTCCGACTGAATCGGTGCTAAGTTCTGAATATTACTGTTTCTTCTAATATTATATGCCTCCATTATTTTTCAATAATTAGGTATAATTTTGGGGTTTTGGGGTTTTGGGGTTTTGGGGTTTTGGGG